CCGCCCAGCCTCCATCCCACGTCCCTGGAGCAACACCCTCTCCCCAGGCAGCTGCAGCGCTGCCCTCACGACTGTCCGCTCCCACAGCAGCCTCTGCCAACGCAAGGGACCCGAATCCCTCGCCAAGTCACTCAGCCTCCTTCCAGCCCCCTCACTCCCTCTGCCCGAGGGCTTTGGGGGGACCCCTGAGCATCTCACCTTTCCCTAAGCCAGTGTTCTTCAGAGTTGGGGGGATGGGGGCAGAGGGTCTGTTCTTCAGAGTTGGGGGGATGGGGGCAGAGGGTCTGCGTTCCTAACCAGGCACCAGGGTTGCTGCTGCGGCTGGTGCTGCTGGTCTGGGACCACCCACCCCACGCTGAGACCCAGGGCCTGTGCCTGATTGCCTGCTCCATCAGGGAGGCTAGCCAAGGCCTGCTGGGGCTGAGAGACCATGGGTGAGGTGGGAGCATGGTGGGGACTTGATGTGATCAGATATGTGCCTGCAGAAAATCACTGTGGTGTCTGCCAGGGAGGCCATTGGGGAAAGAGGTGGTGGGGATGGAGGGGAGCAGATGGGGGTCCAATCAAGGAGGTGGAGGCTGAGGGCAAGAGGGTGCAGGCCAGAGGGTCTCCTGCCTTGAAAGCCTCCACTGGAAAGCATCCCTGGATGCCTTGGAAGGGGGCCCAGGTCATGCACAACTTTCAGGTCCTAGTGGCTGAAGCGATCCCCAGGGACAGAGCGGGTCTGAGCCTTGTCTCGGGGAGCCAGCCCTGCTACCAAGCTCACCCTGCTACCTAGGGCCACCTCCACAGGACTCTGGGGGCTCCAAAGGACTCTGACCCTTAGACAAATAGGACACAGACCCTGTCTTCTGACCCCCTGAGCAATCAGATTTTCTGCCTTTGATGTGAAGCACAGAGTGAGCGATTTTATGTGGACAGAAGTGTCTTGGTTACACACACCCTGATCAGCAGAGGCATGGGTGGAAGCAGGATGGCCTTTGGGTCTCCTCTTTGTGAGACGGGACAGGGAGGCAGTGGTACTCAGTGGTGGCCGGAGGGTGGACCGAACCACCTGCACTGTGGTTGGTGGGAGTCACCGCCTAGGGTTGCCCCACACTCTTTCCTGGTGCTTCTTCCTGAATTCTGTTTCTTGCGGTCACATGTGCCTGGCCAACACCGTAGGACCAGTATCCTAATCGCTCCACTCAGCCACCCCCACAACTCCCAAGAGGGCCTCAGCATTGCGTCCCCCCCTGCTCCTCCCGGCCCTTGCTGGTCACCAGCTCACCCCTGAGCCTCATCCTCTGGACCCATGGTGGCCTTACTGTGTCATCCACATTTTGGAAAATTTCCTTGGCCTCCTCGAAGTCACAGATCTCCTCTACGCACTCCCGCTCCAGGCTGCTGGGACGGAGCTCCTCCAGGAAAGAGTTGGCGCGTTTGCGGATCCGCAGCACCTGGTGGGCACGCTCGCTGCTGGAGAACACTGAGTCTGGTTTTGGAGGGAGGGGGAGCTCACCTTGGTGGAGGGGCCTAAGGGGGGCTAGGGCCATGAGAAGGTCTGAGGAAGCAGAGCTGGGAGAGCCTGGGAAGGTCTTGTCTTCGGCCCCCTCAAGACTCATTCTAATTCTAGGTCATGGCTCTGCCCAGGGCTTCTCTGCTCTTTTCCTCCCCAGGAAGCAGATGGCAGTTGGAGGATGAAGCCTTGCTCTGAGATGGATAGGCCTCCCTGTGAACCCCACCCCGACCTCTGTGTGACCTTGAGCCAGCGTCTTTACCTTTCTAAGGTTCAATTTACTCATCCAAAAACATGGGGATAAGACCGTCATGTAAAACATCCAATACAGTCCCTGGCCCAGAGATGAGCACTCAAGCCCTGGCTACTGCTGTAAAGGCTGCCAACTTAAATCATCTCACTGTTCCCTCAGTACACCATGTGCAGCCCCATCTTGACACATCCCCTCCGTCTTCCTCTCCTCCCCCGACCAAGTATTCCCCATGCTCCTCCCCTTGGGCAGGGAGACCTGGAGGATAGACAGACCTATCACCCAGGGAGGGTCCCCAAGTGTCCCCTGGGCTCTGCGAAGTGTTTGTCTTGGGTGCAGGGCACAGTCAGGAGGGAAGGATCAAGTTGGGGGTGTGAGCAAGAGGAGATGGAGGGAAAGGTATCATAGAGAAGGGTATGTCTGAGCTGAGGACACCGCGGGAGAGGGTGGGGGTGCGGGTCCCAGGCAGACAAGCAGCTCAATAAAGGCACAAATGAAACCAACAGCCTGGTGTGGCTCTAGGGGCCCATGTGTCCTGCAGACCTCCCCGAGAATCACGGCCTCCTCCCATTGGCTGTGGAGACCAGGAAAGGGGTTGGGGCAGCGCAGCCTTGAGGCCGGTGTGCATTTGCGTAGAACAGGCTGTGCTGGACAGTGTGGGTGGTAGCCTGGGCCTGGGGTCTTCACAGTTGAGGGAGTGAGTGGGTGGAGAGGGAAGACCCAGGGGACTCTGTGACCATCCCGGTGTGGAGGAGGGAGCTTCAGGAGGTCATCGCAGGGCTCCCTGCCATCACGTGTACCTGCCTTGGCAGCCCCTGTGTGGCACTCTGGCAGCTGGCCTACCTGGGACTTGTCAGTCGATTCCTGCCATTCCCGTCTGCCCCTCACCTCACCCAGGGCTAAGAGAGATGGTGGAAGCCGTGAAGGCCTGGGCAGATGCCCACCAGGGCCTTGTAGAGGCCACAAGGGTCCTGGGGTAGGGGTGGGGTGGCCTTACCGAGAGGAGCTGGTGTGCTGGAAATTCCCCAGGTAGCCACGAACAGCAGAAGGCCTGTGAGCCGCCACATTCCGGAGGCACTGGCACCTGTCTGAGGAGGACTTCTGAGCTCCGGGCAGTGCCCACCCCCGCTGCTGCTCTGCCTGCACCCCCAGGTGGAAGCAGAATGAAAGGGCTGTCCCTGTGTGCTGGCTGTCAGGGCGGAAGCTGGGATTGAGGGTCCTTGTTCGTTAGACACATAGTCACCCTCAGGAGGCCTCGGCCGCCCGCTGTACGTGGGGCTGAGGTCACACTGCCTGCCCAGAAAGCAGCTCCAAAATGCGGTGGAGAGGGCGCCAGGATGTTTGTGCCCTCCTCGGGGACAGTGGGGTGGCTGCCGCTACCAGTCTGATGACTGGGCTGAGAATATTAGCTAATGTTGATTGGACATTCATGGTGTCCTTCAAACAACTTTTACAGGATTCAGAGGGCAGGCCATGAAGCCAGACTGCGTGGTGCAATTTCTACCTCCGGCACTTACTGGAGGGCAATGTTGGGCAAGATGCTTAACTGCTCCATGCCTCAGTTTCCTCATTTGTAAAATGGATGGAATAACGTGTTGTATTTCTGCCTTAAAGTGTGTTGTAAGAATTAAACAGGCTTTACACACAGCTCATGCTCAGTAAACATGAGATATGACATCAGTTAAGGTTCACAACCACCCAAGAGGTAGCTATTAATGCTGTCAATGCCATTTCATAAAGGGGGAAACTGAGACTCGGACGAGTTAAGTGGTTTATTAAAAATCCAACCCTCACTGGCTTCCACTGATTGCACAGGAAAGTCACCAACCCAGGGGATCGATCAGATTCTGTCCCTCATCCGCCAGGACTAGGGTCTCACACCGTCAGTGCACTGTAGGCACCAGACTCGGAAGATTGAGGCCAGGTCCTGAGCATCCATGTTTACATCCGTGTGTTACTCTCAGAGCCAGGACTCAAGGCCAGGACTGTCTGGTTTTAGGCCTGGAACCTCAACCCCTGCCCCAAACGACCCGGTGCCCCACAAGGCCACAGAGATGGCCCTGGTGGCCAGAGAGCAAGGAGCCCTCCCCAGTGGATAGGCCACCTGGCCCCCTGCACACCCTGCCGGACCCTGCTCGCCATTCTGGCTGACCCCCTCTGAGGCTGCTTCTGAGATTTGTTCAAATCCGACACCCCCAAAGGTGGAAGTGGGGCGGGGAGAATGGAGGGTCCTGGGCGGCAAACTGTCTGTCGGAATGGCCCTGGGCCCTGGAGACCCTCGGCCTGGAAGGAGGGAGGCGCATGGCAAAGGGACCTGGGACTGTGGCTGCCAGGCCTGGCCTGCGGAGGGCCTTGTGTCCTTTTACCCCAAGCTCAGGGTCGTTGAACACCCTGGCTGGAGGATTCAGCCCTCATCACCACCTAGCTCTCTTCTCCCGGGGGGCAGCCCTCCCTCCACACCCCTCATAGACCTGCCTGGAGGGGGACTCACAGGGGCGGGTTGTGGAGATGCCGCAAGTTCGCCGTCCTGCCGCCATGACAGCCTGGAGTTTGAGTTAATCCATAACCACAAATATTTGCTTGGCCCTCAGCACTGAGGCCTCCCTCTCTGCAGACAAACAGTGGCACTAGCACTCCTGGTCCTAGCTCAGCACGGCTTGGTCTACCCGAAGCCCACCTCTGCCCACCAAGGGTGCCGTCCAGCAGGGAAGGAGGTGAGGGCAAAACCCTTGACAGATGTGGTCTCATTTTAGCCCCATAGTGGCTGGCCGAGGGAGGAACGTTGTCCCTGGTTTTCAGATGGGGACATTTTTACCCAGAGATATTGTAGTTTGCCCAAGATCAGCACAACAGGTAATATTCCATATTTCATCAACTCTAAGATGCCATTAATTATAAGAAGCACCTATTTATGGACCACCATACAAGAAAAAAGACACTGGCCCAGTGACATGCCATCCCAATTTCTGATATGTAAAACATGAGAAGATGCTCCTTTTAGGGTCCCCAGTGCATGGGTGCTGGGCACAGGGCTCCACCCTCACCTTCAATTGCTCACGAGTCCCCCCCACCACCCCTCCCCTCACACATACAACTGCACATAGCATCCCTCTAACCTCTACTGTTCAGGTAAGGACACTCAAGTCTTGCGTTACTCGCCCAGATTCACTGAGCTGGTGGTTGACAGATTTAATTTAAACCCAGGTCTTGCTGCTTCCATTTGGTCCCTTTTGTGAACCAGTAAGAAAAACGAACGGGATTCCAGAAGGCTGCAGCAATTTCCTGGCTGGGGTGCCAGAAGGGAGAAGGGCAGAAATAAAGGGTCCAGCTCAGCACCTTTGCCTTTGTCCTGCAGTCTATCAGCATTTACTAAGTGTCTTCCTGCTCCGAACCAGGCTGCACCAGAGATGCCCCCCTTTCCTCCCTGCCCCACCTGTTCCTGGGAAGATTTGCCCACATTCCTCCTCAAAGTCTGCACCTCTAAACGGGGCGTGTGACCCTGCCTCGCTGGCTTCCGTTGATTGCACAGGGAAGTCATCAACCCAGGGGATCGATCGGATTCTGTCCCCCATCCTCCAGGCGTAGGGTCTCACACTGTCAGTGCACTGTAGGCACCAGACTCGGAAGATTGAGACCAGATCCTGGGTATCCATGTTTACGCTTAAAGCAGAGGAAGCTGATGAGAAGAAAGAGGCAGGTGTGCAGAGGGAGGCTGAGGCCGCGTACACCTGGAGAGCCCCAGGGAGCAGCGGAAAGAGGCCCCTGCCTCCTTCTGATTGGTGGCACTTCCTGGCTTCGGGTGTAGAAGGGTCCCCATGCCCTCCTAAAACCCTCTTCCTCCTGAAGTTTCTTCAAATTGGCTGGAACAGTTGGGTTGATTGTAACCAGATGCTTCCTGCTGAGGCACCACACCATGCTGGGCTGTGGTGGTACCAGGCCCTCCTAGTAAAACTCTCACAAGCCAGGCCCACCTTGCAGGGCGCAGGGGCAGGTACACAAGGGAAATGCTTACAGAATTCAGAGGACAGGGCAATCAGTACAAACTGGCATAGCCAGGGGAGGCTGCCTGTAGGAGGTGACACTTCAGCTGGACATCAAAGGACAGACAGGAGGAAACCCCCCACCCGTCCCGCCCCACCCCAGGCCGGGAGAGAATGGGCAGACACAGAACACAAGCAGCTGGGAGGTGCTGGGAGGGGCGGAGGTGGAGAGGAGGTGGAGGTGGAGAGGAGGTGCAGGGTGAGGCAATGGATTTTGGAATTGAGACTATGAGAAGTGGAGAGCCAGGAGCTGTTTGTGACAGGCTGTGGTAGCTGCCTAGAGAAGCAGAGACAAGCTCCTGGGAACTCAGGCAGGAAGCATGAAGACCCCATACACAACCACACAAGGCACCAGCTTGTATGTCCCCGTTCTTGCTCCAGGCGTCGCCCCCGCAAGTCTGCAGGGATCACTGCCGTCTGCTTTGCCTTCCAGGCGCAAGATGTTGTGGGTATTCTTTTGGCGCCGCTTCCCTTCCCCACCGACTTCTCGCCCTCCACTCCTCCCCACCCCAGCACAGGCAGCCGCTCCAGGGCAAGTCTATGCAGGCTCCACACACTGATTCTGACCTGCATAATGGACTCTGCCCGGGCACCCATGTCCAAACCAGCCCAGATGCCCAAAGCACGGGCACCGGTACGAACCAGGACGGCTGCAGTGCTCCCAGGTGCTCAGTGCTGGGGGTTGGGGGTGCCACGGCTTGGGAGGCTGCCCAGAGGACGGGAGGGTCCTCTGCAGAGCTCTGCACGCCTGTCGGCCCACGGGGGCTCTGCACCAAGGGCTGCGTCACGGACTCCTCTACGGCCTGCAGCGCAGGAAACCCCGTCACCTCCTCGAGGCAGGGTCGGTCCTGCCGCCAGCCATTCCTGTGATCCCAATGGTCTCTGCAGTTACCCCGGGTTCCAGCCGGCGGCGCCGCGCCGCCCCGCTCCTGCGGAGGAACCAGGCGCCCTTCACAGGCGCGGCCTCACCCGCTTGACTTGCCAGGTGTGAGCCGCCCCACGTGGGCCCGAACGCGGTCAGCTGCACCCAGGAAGCCAGAGCAGGACTTTGGGCAGCAAGATTGCTGTGAGTTAGACAGCAGAGGGACATCTGTGGCTGAGGAATTCGCTGCATCGATGAAGACCCAAGCAAAGGAGTAAGAACCAAATGCATGTGGGGCAAGGCCAGCCACAACTAATGGTGTTCCAAAGACTTCACCTCTGAAGTCAGGTTCACACGGCCGTAAACCTCCGCTAGCCTTTTTCTGCCAGGGGGATTTAACTTCCCTGCGTCTCAATGTCCACATTTGTAAAACGGGGTCAGTGTCCATCTCAGGTGACTGTTATAAGGGTCACGTTAAATAGTTTATTAATTTTTTAATTAAAAAACTTCTTTGAGACAGGGTCACTCTGGCTCTGTCACCCAGGCTGGAGTGCAGTGGCGGGATCACAGCTCTCTGCCGCCTAGACTTCCTGGGCTCAAGCGATTCTTCGGTTTCAGCCTCCTCAGTAGCTGGGATCACAGGCCCGTGCCGCCACGCTCAGCTAATTTTAAAAAATTTTTAGGAGAGAGGAGGTCTTGCTGTGTTCCTCTAGAACTCCTGACCTCAAGTAATCCTCCCTCCTCAGCCTCCCAAAGTGCTGAGATTACAGCGGGAGCCACTGTGCCTGGTCTTATTTTTAAGTATTTTATACAGAGCGAACGTGGCCTGGGACTTAACAGTTGATCACTCCACAATAATTTCCTCTCTCAGCTCCCCAAATATCCTGGAGAGAAAAGTCAGGTACCACACGGAGCTTTGTGGGGATCAAAGCCAGGTGATAACGCGCCTTGCCCTTCCCACAGGCCTGGGAAGGGGTCAAGGACAGCTGCTGCCGTGTGGAAGCTCAGACTGCACAGATCTGTTGTACAGATCAGGGCCGATCATTCAGGCAGCCGTAATCTGTAGGACACTCCCCACCCCTTGTGTTTGGCCCTGGCTCTGCCGATAGGTGCCAGTAACTCAACTTGAGTTCCCTCTGCTGAATAGTGATGAGAGATGGGCTGGTGGTCAGGGCTGACTGGACTAAGGTTCCTTCTCACCCCATGCCACCCCCCTGTGTGGGCACTGCCCATTCTCCATTCTCTCTGCAGGGACGCTGTGCTGCTCAGCCCACCCCAAGCAGGGCAGGGAGGGGAGACACTACAGAGGCTCCCGGGAGCTCCTTGGTAAGAAGTGGTGTTGGATGGATGCAGTCCATTGTCTCTCTCTTTTTGTTGTTGTCAGGTTATTGTGGTATAATTTACATGCAGGGAAACTCACACTTTAAAAATGTACAGTTCTGCTTGTTTTGACAAATGTATGTTATAGTGCAGCCACCACCACATCAATATAGGACATGTTCATCACCCTCAGAAATTCCGTGTTCCACCCCAACTCTTGGTAACCACTGATTGGATTTCATCTCTATAATCTGCATTTTCCAGAATAGCATATAAAGGGAATCATACACAGCACTTTTTTTTTTTTTTTTTTTTTTTTTTTGAGTTGGAGTCTTACTCTGTCGCCCAGGCTGGAGTGCACTGGTGTGATCTCGGCTCACTGCAATCTCCACCTCCTGGGTTCAAGCGATTCTCCTGCCTCAGCCTCCTGAGTAGCTGGAATTACAGGCACATGCCACTACACCCGGCTAAACTTTTTGTATTTTTTAGTTTCATCATGTTGGCCAGGCTGGTCTTGAATTCCTGACCTCAAGTGATCTGCCCACCTCAGCCTCCCAAAGTGCTGGGATTATAGGCGTGAGCCACCGTGCCCAGCCAGTACATAGCTTTTTAAGACTGCCTTCTTTCACTCAGTATAAAGCTTTTGAGATTCATTCAGTGTGGATGTCCATCAGTACTTTATTTCTTTTTATTGCTGACTGGTCTCCATTATATAGATGTACCACAATCTGTTATCCATTTGCCAGTTCTTGGCTATCATTAGATGAAGCTGCTAGAACATTTATGTACAGGTCCTTGTGTGGGCATATGTTTTCATTTCTCTTGGGTAATAGCTAGGAATGAGATTGCTGGGTCATGTGGTGAGTACATGTTTACTTTTGGGAAAAAAGAAAATAAAGTCAAACTTTTCCAGAGTGGTGGTGGCATTTTGCATTCCCACCAAGCAATATCTGAGTGTTCCTGTGACTCTGCATCCTCACCAGCATTTGGTGTTGTCGGTTGTTTTTTAATTTTAATTTTTAGCCTTCTTAATAGATGTGTAGTGGTATCTCATTGTAGCTTTAATTTTCATTTCCCTCTTCTCTGATGATTTTGAGCATCTTTTCCTGTGCTAATTTGCTATTTATATCTTCTTTGGTGAAGTGCCTGTTTAAATCTTTGGACTGTTTTTTGTTTCTTTGTTTTTGAGGGTTTTTTAAATTGAGTTTTTAGAACTTGTATGTATCCTAGTAACAAGCCCTTTGTCAGCTAAGTATGTTGCAAAAATTTCCTCCCAGTCTGTGACTTGTCTTTTATACTTAACAGTGTCTTTTAATGAACAGATGTTT